TGTAAAGTTTTCGGTGAGCAAGAAAACCGAGTGAGAATGTGAGGTGTGAACGTTGATCAATGAGCATTGAAAATCGATATTGTGAGGTGTAAACGTTATTCGGGTGAGCGTAGAAAACCCGGTTGTGATAGTGGATTTCTCCCCGGGAGTGGGGAGCGGAGACGTAGGACGGAAGGTCCGAACTTCGTGATCATTTGAGTGTGTTTGAGTTTGTCATTGGCGCATTTGCTTATGCATTGATCTTATATCGCCAATTGCCTATATTTTTGCCCTATCACATTTGTAGTTTGATTATATCACCCTTGTGTTAGTTTATATATCCTTGCATATATTTTTATCATATAGGATATATCTTATTGTTCATATTGCATATTCTTGCTCATATCATATTGTATATCTATCTTGTAAGAATAATATTTGAATTAGTTTTAATTGGCATTAAATCGGATTAGATTAGCTTAAGACCCTAATCACCCCCTCTAGAGTCTAACAGCTTGTAGCTTTGTTCCGATTGGAACAAGTGTTGATTGTCATAAGTCGGCCGTATTGAGACGACACAACTGTTAAGGGGGTCAAGACGATTAGCTTATGTCATGCCGCTGGTGAGCGAGATGTCTGAGTCTTGTCAATGAGAAATAGCAGGCAGATCTGCCTAAGTCTCTTTATCGAAGACGAGCGAACATATGAACTCTATGCTTTGGGTTTACCCGTGACGGTACCAAGGGCTTTTGGGCAGAGAGTGACAACCCAGAGGTTTGGTACCCAGGTCTTACGTAGACGCCTGGGTTTTCGAGATCCCCATAATGATTGAGAGGCGACTGTGGGAGTCGATCATATGGTTAGTTCCTTGGGTTTATTCCTAAAAAGGTACTAAGAGATTTTAATTCAACTCTTTTGGGCAGAGAGTGACAACCCAGAGGTTTGGTACCCAGGTCTTACGTAGACGCCTGGGTTTTCGAGATCCCCATAATGATTGAGAGGCGACTGTGGGAGTCGATCATATGGTTAGTTCCTTGGGTTTATTCCTAAAAAGGTACTAAGAGATTTTAATTCAACTCTAGGGTCGAATGCCTAGAACTTACTGAAGTTGACTAGATCTTTTACAACCCTGAGGATGTACCTAGGACTTACTGAAGTCGATTAGGTCTTTCTCCCTATAGAGGGTAACACTGGGGAAAGATGAGAAAAATGGCATCCTGAGGGCCCAGGTGTTACGTAGACGCCTGAGTATTTGAGATCCCCATAATGGTCGAGAGGCAACAATAGGAGTCGACCATATGGTTAGTGTCTTGGGTTTATTCCTAAAAACGTACCAATAACTTTTAATTCAACCCTGGGGTCGAATGCTTAGAACTTACTATAGTTGACTAGGTCTTTTACAACCTTGAGGCTATACCTAGGACTTATTGAAACTGACTAAGTCTTTCTCCCTACAGAGGACCACCCTGGGGGTAAAATAAGAAAAATAACAACCCAGAGGTTGAGTACCCAGGTCTTACGTAGACGCCTGGGTCTTCGAGATCTCTATAATAGTCGAGAGGCAACTATTAGAGTCGACCATATGGTTAGTGCCTTGAGTTTATTCCTTCAAAGGTACCAAAAGCTTTTAATTCAACCCTAAGGTCAAATGTCTAGAACTTACTAAAGTTGACTAGGTCTTTTACAACCCTGAGGCTGTGCCTAAGACTTACTAAAGTCGACTAGGTCTTTTGCCCTACATAGGGCCACCCTGGGGGTAAAATAAGGAAAATGGCAACCCTAAGGGCTCAGGTCTTACGTAGACGCCTAGATCTTCGAGATCCTTATAATGGTCGAGAGGCAACTGTGGGAGTCGACCATATGGTTAGTGCCTTGGGTTTATTCCCGAAAAGGTACCAAAGGCTTTTAATTCAACACTGGGATCGAATGCCTAGAACTTACTGAATTTGGCTAGGTCTTTTACAACCCTAAAACTGTGCTTAGGACTTACTGAAGTCGACTAAATCTTTCGCCCTACAGAGGGCCACCCTGGGGGCAAAATAAGAAAAATAGCAACCTTGAGATTGGGTGCCCAGGTCTTACGTAAACGCCTAGGTCTTCGAGATCCCCATAATTGTCGAGAGGTATGATCAGTGCCTTTGGGTTTATTCCTGAAAAGATACCAAGGGCTTTTATGGTTGTTTTTTATGCCAAAATGGAAGACATAAGTCGACTTTGGCTTAATGACAATTTTATTATTGATGAACAAAATTAGACAATTTCACTGAGAACATTCCCTCAAGCACTTGTCTCAGGGATGCTGGAGAATCCTTTCTTCTGGGATTTTTCAGTCGATGAACGCCTGGCTATGATTCTTCCAAGTCTACGTATAGGTTTCCCTTATTGAGTTCTTGCGGGTCGCATGATTCGACCATAGAAGCTTAGGTAACTTTTGAGATGGAATTCTTTTTGAGAAAGATGTTCTAGGAGCCAGAGTTGTTTTTTTCCAAAAAAAAACAACCATGATGGTTTTCTTGAGGAAGCTTTGAAGGTAATAAGAGATCTTCCATCCTATGGATGACTAACTTGGCAGATACTCCCAAAATGGTTGTTAAGGCTATGGAGGAAGAGGACAATGTCAATTCCTCTCAGCCAAAACCATTTTCTGCTTATCTTGAGTGATTTAGCTTGGGTGACATAACTTCGGAGTTGAGCTACAGGATGAGACTGATCAGACTCTTGTTCAGAACCTGACATTTCTTCTCGAAAAAGAAAAGAAAAGCCCCACAGTGGGCACCAAACTGTTGATGTACTAATAATCACATAGTCAGTTGCATATCCAGGGCAGGATAATTTCGATGAGGTAGAGGAGATTGATGAGGGGATCACCTTCTTCTCTGACTTTGTCTGGTTCTTGAATTGGGGTTGCTGAACAATCTGCACATGTAGAAACTCGTGAGATGACGGGATTGGTTTCCCCATTGTACCTCTCCCGATCAAGTTAGATGATGAACTTGAGTAGAAGAGAAATAGCAGAACTTAGAGTTCTCCTTCTGTTCCTTTATTTTGGAATTGCCCCCCCCCCTCAAAAGGTGAATAGTACATGTATTTATATTGTGGGAGAAGGACAAATCAGACACTTTGACCAAGTACAAAGTAGTGATGGCGAGGTATGGGCTGATGGTTGTGTCAGCATCAACTTTATGGGTGTCAACAGGAAGTTGGGGAAAGATCACTTCAGCATTGGTGAGATCGCCTCAGTATCGAATGGAGAGTGATGGGCGACATGGCATAGCCTATGTGACATGACAAGTCATGGAGACTATTGGGGCTAGGGTCATGATGAGACATGTCCAGTGTTTACCGCGGTGCTGACACGTGGTCAGGGAGAAAAGCCCGAGGCAGATATTATCCTCCAGTTTTGCCGAGAAGTAACACCTATCGAGTCGTCTTCGTAAGGTTTTGAATAGAATATCGACTAGGCTTTAGGCGAGTCGACTTCAACAAGAGGGTCGACTGGTCCCGTCTCTCGAGTCGTTATGAAAAATGTCTTCACGAGTCAACCAAGTTACGATATCAGCTGGGCTTGGGCCACCAAGCTGGTTGGGGCCTTGCTTGCAGAAATACACCCGCCTGTTGTTTGGCAAGTTGTATTTCGGCGAATGGGAATATCATAACAGTATAAATTTTAATAGCATTTAACAATATATTATTCTATGTATACTATTATTTTAATTATTTTATTATAATTCATAAATAATAATTATAATATTTTAATTGGTTACTACTAATAATTGTGTATACTTTTATTATAAATTATTTTATTTTATAATTTTTAATAATTAATAGTTATAATATTATTGATAATTATAATTATTTAGGAATGTGAGGAGATGCATAAATAATAAGAGGTTATACTTATTTAATGAAGATTAATTAGAAATAATGATATAGTTAAAATTTATTAAAATTTAAGAGGGTAAAAAAATTTAAAAAATTTTAACCGCCCAATTTTTTTTAAAGTAGTATGGAAGTATCGATTTTAAATAATTTTGGACTGATAACTCGTAATGAAAAAGCAATATTTAAACGCGTTGATCTCTGAATCCCATAGCCCATCACTAGTCACTAGATACAGCACGTTGCTACGCGTCACCTAATAAATGGTCCTTATTATTCTTGCTGTTCAATACACCCACCGGATTCCCTCCAGCATATTCCCACTCCTTTCCTGATCCAGCGCCACGCCGCCACACAGCGGATCTTTGCTCGGGCAGCTGGACTAAAAGACCCTTCTGCCACTCAGCTCTCATCCACCAAAGTCGGTCCCCAACGGCAGATGCAAGGGTATTATCGTCATATCGTGATCCCAATAAATTCTGCGTTACCGCGTCCCTTTCCCCAGCGAAAAGTGGCACAAAATGAAATTCCGACACCACTTTCTGCCACCCTACACGCACCCAAATAGGACCAGAACGTTGTGACGTCGCGTTATGCCTTCGAGTGGCGCTCCCGCAGCGGCTTCGCTGATCGATGGGTCCTGCCGCAGCCCGCGGGCCAGTTGTCAACGGTGGATGTTTGCTTCAGCGCAAGATGGATTCGTGAAGGACTCACACCCGTTTGATCCCGCCATCTCTCACCTCTGCGTATCCGACATTGCGTCAAACCTGTCAAGGATCAGCTGTTGTCCCCAAGCAGACAAAAACGATTTTCCTCCAATCAGTTCGATTTTAATAACTGTGGGACCCACATGAGTTCAACAATGTTACGGATCAACGGATGTTTGCTGTATTGGTGCAGACAGCCGGAATGGGCCATCGTCAACGGAAGTGACGAGTAAAAGGGGATGGAAATGTAGGGGCCAAAATGCAATTAGAAGGGGAATTAGAGATTGGAAAATTTGTGACTGGCCCCTCCGGTGAAATCAAAATAAGGAAATTAAAAGGGGGTTTGTCTTCTGGTTAGATCGCTGGAGTGACGCTAAATTCTTATTATTATTAATTAAAAATTAAAAAATAATAAAAAGGGCGAAGAAATTAGAAAGAGAGAGAAGAAAGAAAACCCCTTTCTTTTTCTCCTCCAACAGAGAGACGAACAAGAGAGAGAAAGTTCGAAGAGGGAGAAAGTAGGCTTCAGCTCGTAGATTCTCGATTCAAATCGGACAAAATCGCAGGATAGCGGGAAGATCGGTGAACCTAAGGAGAGATCTTCGCCTGTTGGCGGTTCGATTCCGGCGATCGTGGAATTGATTGGATTTCTCAGAGATCGGGAGGAATTGTAGGGATTGAATTGGGGGATTAGGGTTTTGGGGATGGGATTTGGGAGATTTTAGGGGTTTGGTAGAGGATTTGGAGGTGGATGTTGTCGTTGGGGAGTAGGGATGAAGGGATGGAAGGGATTGGACTAGGGTTTCGATCGATGGAGGAGAACGAGCTTGAAGAAGGAGAGGCCTTCTCCGGGCATCAGGACGACGATGCTTGCATCGATCCTGACATCGCTCTCTCTTACATCGTAAGAAGCTTTGTTTTCGTTCGATTAGAAAATATTGAAGTTTTTTTGTTGAAAGATTGGATTTTAACTGAATTTTAGCTTTGCTGGAGCAATTAAGGAGTCTTCAGAACTTTCCCAATGCCTGCTGAATGAATTCATATCATTACCTACTGTTGTATGTCAGGTGAAACTTAATGACAGTAATGAAATCGTACAAACAAGCTTATGGGAATTGATTTAAATTTCTCTCTTTGGCCTGTACCATGCCTCAGAGAAGAATACATGTTCCTCTGACAGATAGTCTCTTACTTCTCCATCCAACATTAGGAGAATTTTGGAGGAAGACTATATTATACGAGTCCACTGCCTATTTCTGTCCCTTGGGTCTAGCTGTGTATTTTACAGCGCATAGTGTTCTAAACCCTAAACAATGCTACCAAGCATGTGAGAATTCATTTCAATTTGGCTCTTTGGCTTGTACCATGAATCAGAGATAAATGCAAGTTCCTCTAACAAATAGTATCTTCCCTCTCCATGTAGACTAGTAATGGTAGGAGTAGTTTGGAGCAAGACTGTATAAGATTATGCTTCCTACATCTGTCCTTTTGTTATTTATTTATTTTACAGCCAATAGTATTTAAAACCATTAAAAAGACCATGGTAGCAAGCATTCTAATTTAAGCGAGCATGGGATGTTGCAAGCAATATACATGAAAATTAAAATTATAAATTTTGAGTATAAATGGGAATGTTCTCAATTTGGCTCTTTGGCTTGTACCATGTCTTCAATGTAATGCCAGTCCTTATAGCAGTTCTTGGTATCTGTCACTTTGTCTGGGCTGTTTCCTGATAACTATTTCAGAATACTATCAGCTTCTCGTAGCTGTTTTCCCGTTGGAGTTCTAATGTAATCTAAACTGTCTATATGGAACTATTGTAGTGTGATTTCATAAAGAACCACTTATATCCAATTTGCAAGCAATGCACCATGATGGTTCTGTGTGTAAATGTAGATGTAGACAATGCATGGTGTTCAACAAGGCCATAATAAAATTTGAATTTGAATGTTAACAATCATTGAATGTTGGCTTAGTAAGTCTATATTTTTCTATGAAAAAGATGCTAAATGAAAAACATAGTTTGATTTGTGTCTCAAAAGGCGCATATTTCCACGTCGTATAAATATATGAGAAGGCCTCTTCTTACCTATTTATGCTTTCTCACATCCACACAATGTTGATCTTAGGATGAAAAGCTCCAAGATGTACTAGGGCACTTCCAAAAGGACTTTGAAGGTGGAGTTTCTGCAGAGAACTTGGGTAAGCGAGATATTTAGTCAGCAGAAGATCATTGCGCTCAAGTGGTAGTTGTAGTCTGAGTTTTTTATTTGAAAAATTTATCCATCAACAGGAGCAAAGTTTGGAGGATATGGCTCCTTCTTGCCCTCTTACCAGCGTTCTCCTACTGCTTTGGCTCAACCCAAAAGTCCACCAAGGCCCCTGAACCATAGTGTCTCAAAATCTCCCTACAATTCATCAATTGAGGTACCTTTTTGGAATGCCACATTATTTTCTTTTAATTCGTTTAGCGTTAGCTTTGAATTTCAATGCTGACACATCTATCTTCTTAAAAGTGTACAAGGCAGAATCCCTCTGTTCCGAGAGGTACCTCTGTCAAAAACAACACTGCCTCAGTTGCACAACCCAGCAACTCGAGCAGAAAGGAGAATTGCATTAGCTCACTGAGCACTGATGCTTGTGTTCCCCATCTTGTTTCCAATAACAAGGCAGTTAATGTCAGTGATCTGAAGTCACTGAAGGTTCGCATTAAAGTTGGACCTGATAACACTTTGGCAAGAAGTAATGCTGCAATTTATAGTGGTCTTGGTCTTGATACTCCTCCTTCATCTCCTGAAGATGGCCCTGATGGTATTACAGGACATTCTCCAGAACTTCGATATGTCCCTGGTGAATCTCCTTTGTCCATTCTCCAGGTAAAGTTTCTAAGCTCATTCATGTCAGAGTCACTGTCTAATCAGGTGTCGTCTGACTTAATACACTCCGTTTTCTTTACACATGGAGCAGGATATGACAAGCTTTTCTGTTCCTGGAGGTTATTTACTTTCACCTCTTCATGAGAGCCTGTTCCAATTGGCAGAAAATGAAAAACTTATCGGTAGAAAATTGGGGATTCTCAGCAATGGTGCACCTGAGATGTGTACCGTTCCAAGTATGACCTTGTCTACGAGAGAGATGAGAGGTGAATTAGACAAGAAAGTGAAGTCAGATGAGAAGAATAGTAGGTCAGCAGAAGAAGAGAATTTGAGCTGCAGTGGGGATACAACCAAAATCTGGAAGAAAGAAATAGACATCAACCATCCAGCCAGCAAAAATGTTGTTTCTAGCCACATAGACATGTCATTCCAGTCCTGTCCAAAGAGTTCTGGTCCAATAGTGGGACGGCAGGTTACTGGTGATTCAGGCATTAGACGTTTTCGGAAGAGCTAAATAAACCTTTTTGAAAGGATAGTCTTTTCCCATACCCGATTCTTCTAAAGATGCTCAATGTATATCCATGGGAAGCATGAAAAGTGGTGCTGTCAGTTATTTGGGAAACGAACTCACCTATTCTAAAGGAACAAATAACCCCAAAACAAGTTTTACGGAGAAAGACATCGAAGTTAAAAATCCAAATAATCATAAAGATGTTTTATCTGATACCAGGAGCCAGGGAAAAAGCAAGAATCAGAAAAATAATGATATAAGCAAACTTAACAATGGTGAAGATAAGGTTAGGAATGATCATACTGGTCATGTGGAGCCTATGAAGCAAATGCCTATTCAGAAGTTTATTCCACATGAAAAAATGCTCCAGGAAAATGATCAAACACAGGAGGGTAAAAGAATACAGAAAGGGAGCCGTAATAACTGTACATCCGTTGAATCAATGCAAACTCAAGGAAGCCTGAGGGATTCCTCCTCTGTGGTACCAAAGGAGAAGAAGAAAAGCTCTCATGCAAGACACCACCATTCTGAAAATAAGTCTAAAATGAAATCCCGTAAAGACCCTAATAGGGTACATTCTAGTAAATCTCATAGAGACGTTGTGGGGAACATAAGTGCACAAAGAGCTGAGAATAAGGCAGATTTATCGGAGTCCTTTGCAGTCAGTGAGAAGTCAATTTCAAGATCAGGATTCAAGCAAGAAGTTGATCTTCAACCTGAACTGGTGGCACATCCTCCAGTAGCTACCTCGTCAACTTGCACTGCCCCAACTGCAGCTGCAGCTGTTGCGTTGGATGCACCTCCTAGCGTGGTTATACAGGAAAATTGGGTTTGTTGCGACAAATGTCAGAAATGGCGCTTATTACCCTTTGGGGCAGATCCTAACAATCTTCCAAAGAAATGGAAATGTAGCATGCAAGTTTGGCTGTAAGTTCTTTCTGAAAGTATTTATATTATTTTCAACCTGGGCACCCTCATTTTTTAATTTATATCATGTATAATCTCACTTTTCCTGAGCATTAATGCAATAATAATTCATGCAATATGTATTTCTTTATTTATATTCTTACCTATACTTAGTATAATGCATAATGTTCTTAAATGGTTCATACAGTGAGGACATTCACATAGTTTTAGTTGCCGTATAGTTTAGGTAGAATGGAGGCAGTTATCAATAGTGATGCCTGGTAGGAATTTTACCATTTCACTACAATAATATTGTAATTTTTAAAAAAATGTTCAGTACCTGTTTGTTGAATGTAAATGTTCAATCCTGAACAATTGTTACTTGTTAATATTATATGTCACTTATGGAACCTGGATACCTGCAGCCAGTACTTGTTTTGGGTCGAATGCGGTATGTGTGGGGTGGTTTGCTTTTTTTGGGGGGTGGGCGTGGGGGCGGGGGCAACTAGACAATTTCTGCAAAAACCAAAATGCACATATACTTCAACAAGTTATATTTCCTTAAGGAGAATATAACCACATAAGTTACATGCATTCTTAAAGTTCATGTGGATGCATTGCATGCATTCTGTTCAACAATAGACATTTAATCCAGCTTATTTGTTATCCGTGTATCTTTTTCTTTGTTCTGAATAAAGCTTTAATGATGACATGAGGAAAAGGTATAATTCAGAACTGAGGATGACAAAGTACAGACTTATGATTGTTAGCTTGAGTTTGATTTCTTTAGCAAGGAACAAATTTCAATTGTCCATTGCTACGACGATGTACTATTTCTATTATTTGGGAACATTGTAACATAAAACAAAGTCAGATGTCCCTGTTGTATGGTTCATAAATTTCATAATTCACGTGGTAGAAAAAGTTTAGGATTTTTTATGATTCCGTCAGATGTTTGGTAAAATCTAATATGCTAAGGAGCTAGTATATTTGCTACAAGGTGCAGGGCTTACACCAGTGGTAGGCAATGTGGTTTCTGACGTACTGAGATGGCAGGGGCATGCGTAAGGAGGAGGCAAGGGATTCCTTTTAAGGGCAGTTTGTCATACATTTCACGAGGCATACCGAAGAGAGTGCTTTTATTTCTAATTTTCTGAGACTGTAACTTAGCCAAAATACGTGGGCTATGTGCGGGGTTGCTGGAGGTTGGGGGTCGCGGTGTGGGGTGGGTTATAGAGCTACCGCCAATAGTTAGCTGAAAAAAACCATGGCGTTCTTAGCTTTAACTTCTTTTAGTTAACATATCTGATCCTAACAGCCAGGATGATGGCTTTGTTGTTATTGTTGTTGTTCCCATTGTTCTCAAATCCATGTGTAGAGTAAGATATTTGTTACTTTGTAAGATGCAGGAAAAGATTAAATTACATGATAGGTTTCCTATTACATATTTATTCTTGTATATAGATATAAGTCCCATTATATTGTATGGCACCAACCTGTAGTTTTATTTAAGTAGCTCCCATATGTGATGGCTTCTTGTTAGTAATTTGATGCAATATAGCAAGTTTCCTTAATGAGCTTGCACCTTGCTTTCTTAGTGTTCTTTTATTATCTTTTATTATCTTTTGTTAATGCTTATTGGGATTTGGTTTTCCCTGTCAGCTATGGTTAGAGTCTGACTGATTAGAGGGGATAGCATTTCTCAGTCAATTAATGATTGCAAATTTTGGTTAGGTCTGGACTGAACAAATGCGGTATCAGTGAAGAGGAAACAACAAAAGCATTTCATGCGTTATATTTGGTTCCAGCCCCAGAGACCGGTGCTAATTTGAATGGCCATCATGATGTTGCTGCATTAAATGCTACTTCAAGTACACATCATTTTGATCGAAGATTTGATCATGATATACAAAGTATGTCTGCTATCGGGAAGAAAAAATCTGGATTAACAAGTGCATCAAATGTACCTAAAAGTTCAGTTTCTAAAAAGAGCCATCAGGCCTCAGTAAAAAGTAGAAGTCTAACTGATGTGACTGAGTTTCCCCTGGAAACGAACTCTTCAGGGAAAGCTGGTCTTGGGCTCACGAACAAGTCTGTGGACTTCACTGCAGAAAATCACAAGCACAGGCAGAAGGATAAGCATGAAATTTCAGTACGCCAGTCAGATGGAGGTCATATCTTGTGATTTTTCTTACTAGCTTTTAATTTTTGCAACTAATTGACATGTCATGTATCGTAATTCATGAAACTAGCCTTTAGATCTTGATAAAAAAGATTCTATTGATATAACGTTGCTTTGAAATGTTTGCAGGAGATTTTATTGTAAAAGGTGCCAAGCATTCAAAATCAAAGAGCAAAAGAGAAGCCAGTCAGGACGGGTTGAGAACATCCAAGAAAATTAAGAAAGAGAATTCAAGCTATCATGTTGAAGACCGGCTCTCTGACCTTGATATGTCTGGCAGGACAGCTTGTAAGATGGATAATGGTTTGGCTGCTAAAGTAACTGGGAAGATTCAGCAGAATTACAGTGACCACTCTTCTTCTAAGGACTCCAAGTCTGATCTAAGAGGAAATTTATTAGAATCTACTAAGAAGTCAAAAGATCCTGTTCGTCTCTATTCAAATGGGGATTTCAAAGATCATTTTAATGTTGAGAAATCAGTTGTGCCTGACTATGCTGCAAAGAAGAGGAAGGTGAAAGAATGGCAGGAGAGTCAGGTACATCAGGAGACCGTAATGAGCTCTCATAATGGTTTGGACAGCAGACTTTACGCCAAAGAAGCTTTCAGTGAAGGTGAGCGGAGGAAACAAAAGAAGGCTAAGGTACCCGGAACTGGGGAAAAGGAGTTCAATACAAGTTATGTTAATGAAAAAACTGACAAAAAAGGTCGGTCCACTAAAATGTCATTATCTGGTCATAGAGAGCAGCGATCTGATGGGATGGGTGATGAAGGAAGATTTGGTATGGAGCGAATAGGGTATCAAGAAGCTGCCACTTCTCGACAGGCTTTGGATGGTACTGATCCTCCAAAGAGGGATATGAGTTATGCACAGCTACCAACAGCGGCTACTTCAAGTTCTTCGAAGGTATCTAGTTCTCGCAGAAGCAAAGCTAACATGCAGGAAGCAAAGGGTTCCCCTGTGGAGTCAGTTTCTTCGTCTCCTTTGAGAAGTGCTGCTACTGAGAAGATCTTTATTGGAAGGAACTCAGCGGCAAAGGATGACATGGTAACTTTAGATGCCTCGTTCATGGGGAGCCCAAAAAAATCTTCAGATGCTGATCTTGGTAGCGACCAATCTGGAACAAGAAGGAAGGAGACAGTTTCTTCTGCCCAATTAAATTCATTAGAGAGGAACAGAGCCGAGTCTGGGGTCTTTGCATCTATGGGAGGAGCATCTCATCATTCAGAAAAGGAAACGAGTCATTTATCTGGTAGCAGTAATAAAGATGGATTGTATTCAAAAATGGTTGCCCAAGTTGATCTCTCATCTGCTGAGCTTGAAGAGACAAATATTGTAGATGATACTGAGAAAATATTGGATCATGATAACAAATATATCTTTGACAGAACAGAAAAAGAAAATATTGACGGCAATGGAGATGACCTGAATAATCATCGTGGTTCAGGTGCAACTAGTCAATGGAAGTCGGATAACAGTTCTTCTGGCTTCAAGGATAGAAACAAAATTTCTAATCTTGATGCCAACAGAGGTAAGCTTAAGGTTTCTGATACTATTAATGACAGGAAGGAGTTGTACTCCTTGAAGAAAGGAATCAATTTGCCATCCGGGGCTGAATTCAACTACAATGACAATTGTATTCCTCATGAAGGTTCAAGGGATGAAAATTGCAATTTCCAGGAGAAGGATGAGGCTTACTTGGGAAAGAAAATTTCTTCTGCAAAGCTGCCTCCTGATAGAAGAGAGAATCACTCTGATAATGGATTAGAAGAAAGTTTGGATGCTCAACATAAGGATTTCAATTCTAGACATACATTTGCTGGAGCTAGTTGTAAGTCCAATTTACAGGAAAATCTTGAACTGGCGCCTTCTTACCCAAGTGAAAATCCAATGAGTCACTCCCTTCTAAGTCACATTGATAGGTCAGATATGGCTTCAGGTACAGGGATGCCTCAGCCAGTCCAGCCTCCCAAAGGTAATAGTGAAGCACATAATTCAGGTGCTCAAAGAGTCGCTACACCTGTCAAAGGAAGCAGGTCAGACACAAACCCTACTGATGCAGCAAATGGGGATGCAGTTAAGTTGGCGAAGCAATCGAGAAAGCCTGCCAACCAAAATGGTGTATTCTCCAATACTCTGAGGCAAAACACTCCTAACAGTCATGACTCCAGCCCATTGAGGAAGGATGGTCCTGTTGCAAACACTGTCTTGAAAGAAGCTAGAGTACTAAAGCACACTGCTAATCGCTTAAAGGTCGTGGCAGTCATTTTGCAAGTCAAATATTCTCATTTTTAAAGAAAATCCCTAATTCTTTGTTAGTTTAGAAGCTAAACAGGTGGTTAATTTCGCAGAATGAAGGTCTAGATCATGAAAGCATTGGCTTATACTTCCAGTCAGCCTTGAAATTTCTGTATGGTTCCTCTCTTTTGGAGCCTCCCAGTGCTGAAAGTGGCAAACATGGGGAAATGAATCCTCCAGCACAAATGATATCAATGTACTCTGATACAGCAAAGCTGTGCGAGTAAGCCTAAGTTCCATAATGTGCCTTTTTGTTTGCAAAAAAAGGTTAAATGTAGATGTTGAAATTTACTGCTTTTTTACAGAAACAGTCAATCATAGTAAATAACATAAGAAAAATCTGGCTTTTGGTGATTATGAAATCAACATGTTACCTGGTTATTGTAGGATACATGCATCCTAATTGGACACCATTCTGAGCCTAGCACCATAATCCTTTGCTTTGTCAAAATAAGATTATCATATTGTGGCTGATGTGTGTCATGTCTCATAACTTTTATTCTTGTTGGTTAAATCCTATTTTTTGCTTTCCACTGCTAGGACAGGGATTATCTGCTGCCCTTAACCCTTTACAGCAGAATTTTTCTTTCTGTAGTTACAGTTTCTCTAGTTCGTTTATAGTCCCAAACTTGTGATTATCTGCAGGACACGAAACATCATATTCAGTATTGCATGTAGTCCGTGGAGTTGATGTAGCCATCTTATGGTTGAGTGGCTTTAAACCTCTTTCATTTAGAATATTGAACTCGAATTTTTCTCTATGGACGGTGTACTAGAGAGGTAGCCAACTAGTGTAAAACAACTTTTATTGCCTGACTTAGTTTGAATACTTGGAAAAACATATTGCAAAAAATCTTCAAGACCCTTGCTGAGGTTACTATTATCTATTAGTTAGTATATTACATAGAATGTGAAAGAGCGCCGTAGGTTGAATTGTCAAGGGAATGAATTGTTTGTTAGAATTGTTTGGATTCTTTCCAAGTGTGAGGTAGTTTCCTTTTTCCCCCTCCATCTGTGAGGGCATTTCTGTAGTTTTTTTCCAAGTGAGAGAATTCCTTAGTTACTTCCAAGTGTGAAGGCAAATTTGACATTCGACAAATGTGGCTCACACAAACCAAATGGGAGGCTTCTTAATATATAGTATAATGGTATATAGAATTCTGGTTTTGTGGATGGATCCTGCATCGTTAATTCTCATGTCTGCCGTCCAATAGACCCCTATCCTTGCCTCCTTGGCAAAAATGCCTTGGGGTGAGCACCTTATACCTCTGTTTGGAAACTCTGCCATCCCATGTTTACTTGTGGAGACATGGGCAAGTTCTTGGTGACAGTAGTCAGATTAGTGTACCTAAAAATTGAAAATATTCAAAGTGTTCTAATTGTGTCAAATAATCTGAGTAATTTCTATTTAAATTGATTAATTTTTGGCATGATTGTATCAATCAGAAACTACTCGCATTTGATGCTGGTCAACATAACTTAAATCCAAGGAACAATTTACTGATTAGTTTGCTACTTCCTGCACGGTGGCATACTCGTTCTTTTTCACTGACACCCAGTTGGAGCTTTTGAGTAGGCTCATTTGTAGTATCTTGAAGGCAATTTTAATGCTACAATTACTTGATAAATCTTAAATGGTGGATCTCAATTTATAGATAAAAGGGAATGTTGATTTTAGAATTTGCAAAGCAAATTGGTTAAGTTTGCATGGTTAATTTATGGTGGTCTTAACAGGTATTGCGCCCATGAGTATGAGAGATACAAAGAGATGGCTGCTGCTGCTTTAGCATATAAATGCGTGGAAGTGGCTTATATGAAGGTTGCTTACTATAGAAACCCTGTTGCTAGCAAAGATCGCCATGAATTGCAAACGGCTCTTCAAGCAGTTGTGCCAGGTTATTGAAATACCCACCACTTCTTGGATTATTAGCAAAATTATAATATGACTTACCACTGTTTCTTAGTTCTAGATTTTACTTATATTCTATTTACAGCTTAGATCTTAACTCAAACCATGTTAGCTTTTTTTCTATATTACTGTATTATCTCAAGCCGTAGAATTGATATTGAACCTAATTGGTCTAACTTTTAGCATATATTTTGAAGAAATTGGAGGACAAAAGTATTGTTGAATAAGAGCAGCACTGTGCAGAAAATGAGAAAATATGTGGCATTTGGTTTGCTGCAAATATATCAAATTTTATTTACAAAGTGCTTTCGTATTGATGGAACCACTGTATTTTGATCAACATTTAGGTGACTGGTGACAGTTCCTAGAAGCTTTTGAAACCATTTATGGACAAGTTTTCTGTTGCAGGCTAAGTTCCTGGCATGTATATATATGTATGGATGTTAGTGTAGTGTCCTTATTATATGCTATTTTTATTGAGGGTAATTTTTTGTACCCCCATATTTTCCAATTTCGCACTTCGACTGTCTCCAAGTTTACATTAGTCTTTAGTGCCCTTTTGGAGGACTAAACCAATTTGTCAGGGGACAATACCATGTAAAATGGGGGGCTACACACCAAAAAAACATAAAGGCACTGATAAAGCAAATTTACCTTTTAATTATTGTTTATGTAAAATTTTACATGCGCTGCCACTGTTCTGTACTATAATTTATATGTCCCTAGAAAAAGAGGAGCGTCTGAGGTTAGTCTATAGGTGTATTGAATATACCTGACATTTTTATGACGCGTAAATAACTTCGCCGACCATAAACACACAATTTCATACCCACCTGGAAACCACATGCATGTCCATCCAAGTCCGGCATTTTATAAACTCATTAATGGCCAAACATTAATGTCTATCCTTAGTTTTCTTTCTGGGACAGCTGATGATTCATGTTTTGTTTCTCAGGTATTAGTATCTCATGTATGGTAGATGATTTGTAATTCTGTTTTCATTAGAGTAAGATGACTGAGAAACATATTTCTTATCAAAATTGCACTTTTGTTATCTTAGGTGAGTCACCTTCATCTTCAGCTTCGGATATTGATAACCTAAACAATCAGGGTGCACTGGATAAGGCTGCTTTAGCCAAGGCTGCCGGTTCACCTCAGATTACTGGGACTCATGTTATTGCTGCTCGTAACCGCCCTGCTTTTTCGCGGTTGCTAACTTATGTAAGTTGGTTCCTTTGATTATTGGAATATTTGATTCAGTAGATAACTAATGTGCACAAGTTTTCTCCTCTGGCAATATAGAGCAGAGTCTCAAGGCATAACATATATACTACTTGTAAACATTCAACAGTTTATAGAGGTCTTACAGAATCTTCAGTTACAAATCTAACCACAAACAAACATAAGGCTCTTCGGAGAGCTATATGCACCAACATTATCAAAATACCAGTCTAAAGATAACATTGAAAAACCATAAACAGAAGAGAATCTCATTGAAGCCCGCTACGTAGCTTAAAATTGCATAGACTCTGAGTAGAACTTCTACTAGAAGGAATTTCACTAGAAGGAGCGCCAATTTTCCAACGTAAATATTGGAGACAGATACAACTGCTTGAAGAGTAGACACGAGGATAAAATATTGTTGTCATATATTCTATGTGGCATATATATTCAGAAAGAGAGAACATATTTTTCCAATGCACACGTTGAAATGCACGTTCATACTAATGCGCACACATTTTCTAAACAATAGGAAATCATATTAATCATTTACTACATTTTATGATTTGGAATTGGGAAACAGAATTTATTATATATGTCATATCTTATTTGTAACAATTATATCCAACATCCAACCTGCACTTGATAGACTTTTCTTCACCATATAGAATACTATCACCAGTTAAACAAATGCCATGGTTACATCCATCCTTGCAAAAGTAGAAGCACCCATTAAAGTTAAATTGTTGAAAAATAAAGCTGGCATCATATCTTGTTTGTAGTCACAAGAAAATGGTCCTATGAAGGGCTTTTATGCGGCAAAGAAGAGAGAATAAATGGGTAAAAAGAAAACAATAAAAGTCTTGTGCAGAGATCACCCCACCTTTGTTTCCTGATAGTGCTTCTTAAAGTTTGTCCCCAATTTCGGGTTTGTGGTCGCTCTCTCCTAAGCTATGGAGGTGGTAAAGATTGAAACTCTTAACTGTTCTCCCACCATATCAGGAAGTTGGTTCTCGGAGCTGCATAAAGTAGGCCCTTCAAACTACTACCAGGTAGAACTTGTTGATACACTTATTATTAGGGTTCAAAGATTAGAATCTGACTAGTGACTGGAACTCCCTTTTCCCCTTCTTTCTGCTGCAATGGTGCTCATTTTGGACCATTTTATGTTTCCCCTCTCCTTCCCTTTTTTTTCAACTGTTTCTTCTCTCACTTCCTTTTCTCTCTTTCAACGGGCACCTCATATATGTATTCTCATGCATCATGTGGCGGTGGACGATATGCTGAATCACATGGTGCCACATATCGCCTTTTGATTCTCAAATGAATCAATCCACTTACCAATAACATAAACTCTTTTGTTTCCAACTAAAGAGATATTCTGATGACTGATTTTTCAAATTCTTAACTTCTAATCTCGTCCTCCTGGAATTCTACTCCATTAACATTGCCGTAACGTCCAAGGCATTTCAAACTACTGAACTTGTTAGATCTAATCCCCAAAATAGCCCTCCTATCCTCCATTAAAATGAAACAGGACAAAATGAGATTAACGGAATTAATCAAATTTGTATTACATTTTTTGGAATAGATCATTGAAAGAAGGTTCAACCCCTACTGACCAAATGCTAAGAGTCTGTTACAATTTATATCGAGATTGAGCATTCTGTAATAGGTCTATGGGAAGATTTAAACCCTTGAGCTGGGAAACAAATTGATAACTCCATGGCTAAATATCTAAATATTTAACTAAAAAAAATGTCCCTCATCTTTTAAACTTATGAAGATCAATTTACCAAAAGCATCAATGCCTAAACAAGGAATAAAAGAGATTATCTATTCATCATCATATTTCCCTTACATGAACAACTTTTATTCCATCACGACCACCAATCAAACAAAAGGTAAGGTTTGATGTCTTTTCATATGGTTCCATTCGCCTTTTTTAATAAAGGGTCACGTATTTTAAAGGCTTTCTATCCATAGTATCCAACTAAGCATGGCTTTTTCCGTGGAACTGCACTTATAATCTCTTAAGTAGATATAAGAATAGTTGAATGGATAAGTATACACATGAAAAGATGAAATATGGTATTCTCATAATTGATAAATATGGAAAGCATGGCTGTTTGCGTGGAACTGCTCTCCTATAATATCTGAGTAGACATAAGAATAGTTGGATGGATAAGTATACACATGGAAAGATGAAATATGGTACTCTTATAATTCATAAGTATTAGGGTATGATCTCATTGTAGAAGAATTTAGATTTGTTTTCTGTAGGTATTTTTGTTGAGTATCTAACTCGGATAATGACAAATTCTGCAAAGTTAATGTAATTTTAGGCTTGTCTTGGCTAGTTATAACTGTTGATATGGACTCATCTTACTTGTTTTTTAATTCTTGAAGGCAAAAGCTGTTGACTCATCTTGCTTAGTTTTTAATTCTTGAAGGCAAAAAGTGGTGATGTCATGAATATGAATTATGATTTACGATTCATGCTTATTCCTACCATATTTTATTGTTATCTTGGCAAAAGTGGTGATGGCAAAAAGTGGTATATTTTTTGGTGTCATCATATTTTATTGTCATCTAGGTTGAATTCTTCATTCTTAGTTCGGCTAGCTTAAGTGATTATATGTGCATGTATTGTTTGCATTATACCCTAGCATACAAAATGGCAATGTCATGAACATGACTTTTGATAATTTACTCTTGATGGGTGTAGCGCTTGAAGGTGTAATAAAATTGGGTTTGTTTGCAGACAAATGATCTGAATTGTGCATTTGATGCTACAAAGAGATCTCAGAATGCTATTGCAGCGGCTGGTGTTAACTTGGACAAGGACGGAGTTGATGGCATTTCTTCAGTCAGAAAAGTTATTGACTTTAACTTCCATAATGTAGAGGAGCTGCTGCGACTAGTACGACTTTCAATGGAGTTAATTGGTCGCTGAATGTTTGAAGATCAAGAATCTTACGAATTGGTCTTTTCGATGTTGATCTCTTCCGTGTAGACTATAAAGGAGGGAAGTGCTCATCTGCTTTCACTTCTGTGATAGCATTTCAAAAGGGATTGGGCTTTACAGGCGTGCTTCTTGTAAAATGTGTACAAATGGGTTGGCTTGCAATTTTTGTATAGTATTCTTTGCAGCCTTGGACATTTTTAGAATCATAAGGTTCTTAGCTTGTTGACCCCTCAATGTTGGAGTTTTGCAAAATGGAGTTATTTTTATTAGGTTGTCCTGGCATTGAGATGAAGAGCACACCAGTAGGTTATGGATTTATATCCATTCTAGTAATGGGTAGATGCAGAGTATGCTTTGTACTCTGGTTGTCTCCATCTTTCGGCTCTTCTATCTTAGAGAGACTTTTTGTGACTGTATATTCATGATGGAAAGTAACTGGTATAACATTGAATCTTTTTCCATTTAGTTCAGCGTTGTGCAAAGTGCCACACTCACCATTCAAAAATGCATGAAGCTGAACATCATGGCTGGACATGGTACGTAACGTTCTTGCAAGTACTGAGGAATGCTTGAGAGTTTTATTACATTAATCTGCTGCACTTATTGTAATATTTTCGTCTTGCTTTTAGAATTGACTGCGCTAAATGTTTTTGTTTCCTAATATGCATTGGTTTTTTTGCCCCGTGCAGGTTGGTCTATTAACTTTTGTTCCAGGATCTTTATGTTTTTTGCGGATGAGGATGACTGGTTTGGAAAGGCTGATTGGTAGTGGGATGATGGCGATATATTATACATTCATCTAATATGCATTTTATCTGTTAAGAAGAATTGATTTGTGCTCTTACCCAAGAGGTTAGTTTTAACTTTCTAAATATTCATTGGTATACTATTTTTGTTATATATTCTTTTCCTTCCATATGAACTGCAATAATTCTTTTCTGATGTCAGGAAGCTTGTAAGATACAAACCATTAATAACGAAAAGTGGGAGGCAGGAGTTTTGAGTTCTTGCTGCGGTTAATATTAAGACTTATACCAGTAAAACTCCAGGTTAGTCATTTAGATTGTTGGCTTATTCTCTCTCCTTTTCCCCCATTTCTTCACCTGATAAGCGTCGTAATATAATCAAATTGGAAAAAGATGAACATGTGCTTTCTAAAGTGGTACTTATAAGGGAGAAAAAAACTTAAAAGATATATAAACATGTAGAAAACGGAAATTGTGCAACGGTTTATCCATTAATGGTGAGACCATGAAAGTATTGGATAAATATCTGCCGTCGGCTTTTTAAAATGCTCTGCAGTAACAAATATCCTTATATTTCTCTTTTGCAAATATGTCATGAGAAACACTCTGAACATCTTATTTCAAATCCTATCATTCTTGTGATTGCCATATATACTTTGAGCAAGTTAACCTTTTGACTTTAGTTTCCCCCACATAAATGCTACGTGAATGATCATTATTGTATATATAATCCTTGCTATGGTTATTGCTTCTTAAATACCAGTCTCTCTTAGCCACACTGCTCAAATACACCCCCCCTCCCCCCCCCTCCCCCCCCCTCCCCCCACCCCCCCCCCCCCCCCCCCCCCCCCCCCCGCGCGCCCCCCAACCACCCCTGCGTGTTTCTCCTACCTGTATGATTCTTTGTTCCATGCATCATTTGAGAAAATTGAGCACGTCTATTGAGCTTACATATGCTGGCGATTATGATTAATTTCTTTGGTCGAAAGAGAGCTGTTTCAAGAGTTCCTCTGGGAAAACAAGCAATCTTTTAAGTGAAAGTAAAAGCTTTCATTATAATTTCTATATTTTCAAATACAATGGTTGATACAGGAGTTGTTGAGGAGGCACTTACGTCAAAGTTTTGGCATATGATGATTAAATAGTGTTGAATGACCAATAACTTAATATTACTGATAACATTTTTCAGTGACATTCCTTCCTGTTGAAAATCTGCTCCATTATCATCTGGTCCATTTTTAATCTTTTAGCTGGTACTTGTGATCTGCTGTATGAGGCATTCAGAGTTTTCACGTCTTTGCAGTTTCTTATATGTTATGAGAGAAGATTCGAAGTTTAGGTAGATATTACAACATGCCTACAACTGCTGCAGTGTGTTTGTTGACATGGTATAGGGTAAAGTTGTGGATGGGAAGGAGTTGCACTTTTATTTATACATAGGTCTAATTGCAGATAAATACCCCAAAGTTCTACACAATTTTGAGATGTTTGAGATTAATATGCTGAAGTTTAAATTTGTCAAATTACTTGGTGCGTTAACAGAGTTTTCAAGGACTGAGAGGTCAATTTGTTAATGTTTTCATTCTCATATTCTTCCTCAAGTTACTTAAGCTGCACGTCAACCTGACCTCTCCTCCCTTCGTCCCGCAACCTCTCCTCCAATAACCAGTGGGAGCAGCGCCAGAGGCAATGGGCCACATGCGGGCAATGGAGTAGAGTTTTGCTGTGTAATTGGGGGAGGGTTTGGTGATTTGGAAGGAGGGAATTTAGTAGGTTTTCTTTTTCAAATGGGGATAAAAGCAAATAACATCATGTGCTCAATTGTAGCGGAGTCAAACAGTGGATATTCTAAAGTCTTACCAACAGTAGTTATCAAGATGTGAATTAGGTGCAACTGTAGTTGCCATTTTTTGCAAATTTAGACTTCAGGGTATTTACCTCAGAGATGGGTGTAACTTTTAGGATTGCAACCCTTTATGTATAATGGGTATCCTTGTGTCATACGAGGGGAGTCTCTCATGTACAGTAGTGTGGTTCACTCAACCAATTGTGTGACTATGAGGATTTCTCTATACCCTTTTCTCACTTGGTTGAGATTGAGTTGGCCATTGTATATGAGAGAATCCTCCCGTATGACAAAGGAGATTCTCTCATATGTACCGTGAGGTAACTGAATCTCAGCCACACTTAGTTGGTTTAGGTAATAAAGAAAGATCATCTCATGCTTGGCTGAGGTCTAGCACACGTGTATGATATAATCGTATTATTCCTATTATTCTGTGTGGGTGATATTTATATGGGTATGTACACGTCTATATATACACCAGGTGTCTCTGTGTAAATATGTGCAAACACATGCATGCGTGTGTGTGTGTGTGAATATGTATTTATACGCACACAAAAACATATATACGTGCATGCGTGTGCATGTATGTGTCATACATTTTTTAATTTAGTTCGTTCTGGTATCATAATTTGAGTGAAGTAGAATATGATCAACTGAACTCTCAGTTCCCGGAGGCACTTGATGCGTATGATACAATTTATAAACCTGTACTTATTTTTGTGGTCTTCAAGCTAACCTATTCCCTGTTGCTATTTTCAGGTCAGGCAATTGCAGGGGAAGATGAGAGAGTCTCATACTTATAGCAGTTAAGTTGCAATTGAATTGTACATAAGAGAACAGTTGTATTTTTATTATTTTATTTTATTCTATTTTTTGGACTGGGCTCAATATCCCTTTCTGACCTGTGTATCATATAACAAGACATTAAAGCTAATTGCCCCCCACCCCCCTTTCCTCTTTTCCTAATACAAATTACCAAGTTACTTCAGTACTGCATGATTATATGTTTCCAAAGCGTCAAATTTTTAGAAATATGGTTTAACTCATCAGTCTATTATACCGTAACATAATACCGTAATGTTACCTCTTGTTTTAATTCCTGATGACATTGTTTGACGACCCAATATTTTGGACTTGCAAAGTTCTGTTGACGCATTAAGAAGTGAGGCTCATCATCTGACTACACTAGCGCAAGTGGTTTCTTGTTCTGGTATGGTGAATGATGACGAGATTTAGTGAATGGTGATTAGTTTTTGCATAAAGGATTGGTAGCAGAAGTATTCTATTTAGTTTTTCAGTGTGCCAATTTATCACAGTATGAACTCTTACTGGTCATTTGGTTAGTAAAGAAAAACAAAAGGTAGAGAAAATAAAAGCATCACGGAAACTCATTGCCTAACGTCAAATGCAGATCTAAACATAGGGATAATTGTCAGCGGACTTTTTGTAGTATCATTCAATTGTGAGTAGACCTCAAGTAGTAGTATTTGTTGTGGATAGACCTCTTGAGTGAATTTTTGGACTCTTAAAATCATTAAAAAAAAGGTTTGAAGAGGAGAAAATAAAAGCATCACGGAAACTCATTGCCTAACGTCAAATGCAGATCTAAACATAGGGATAATTGTCAGCGGACTTTTTGTAGTATCATTCAATTGTGAGTAGACCTCAAGTAGTAGTATTTGTTGTGGATAGACCTCTTGAGTGAATTTTTGGACTCTTAAAATCATTAAAAAAAAGGTTTGAAGAGGGTTGTGGATAGACCTCTTGAGTGAATTTTTGGACTCTTAAAATCATTAAAAAAAAGGTTTGAAGAGG